AATATAATTTTTCTCACAGATATGGTATAAGTTGGTATGGGGTGTTGCAAAAGCAGAAGTTCGTGGTAAGTCGGGGTGTTAATTGTTTATTTCTAAAAGTTTGGGGTGATTGCAAATATTTCGGAAAATGAACCTAAATAGAAAAAGCAGATCTAGAGGTGCTTTTAGAAAAACAGCTTAAAACAACTTATTTTAAGAGAAGTTAGTTTTATTTTAAGCAAAAGTAAAAGTTGGTCTTGCAAATACCTTAAGACAGATTATGATCAAAAGAAAAAGCTCAAAAGCTATTTGTAAAAGCTTTTGCAAACACTACCTATATATATCATCTGTGAAGAATTAGAAGCCCTTTCACTGTTGGTTTTCATTATATGTGTAATTAATAGAAGAAAATCGAATATTTTACGAACTAAATACTATGAATCGATATAAAAACATATCCAATAGTAGCATTTCGAATGCAATAGTAAGCATATACATACACATACTTACTGCAACCAGATTCCACACAGGGAGAAAACAAACTTCATATTTGGCTAATCGCGAACGCATTAGTAAAATATATCGAAAAAAAGGATCCTCGACTTATACATTACAAGAACCAAAATAAAAAAAATAATACAGATCCATCGTTTTGGCAATGCCTCTTAACCGAAGATAAATATATACAAGCACGAATTCGTCTCTACAGATACTTGTCATCCACGTCATTCTCTGTTACACCGCTCCCACAAACGAAACTCACTTCATTAAACACCGATTCACATGGTCTCGATCCAGACATCTTCATTTGACGGAGAATTTCATTCGCCTCAATGCAAAGTCCGTGTCGTACGTAATTCGCCAGCATTGCATTACAAGAGGCGTCGTTCCTCTTACTTATATCCATTTCAAAAACCCTCGTTGCGTCATTCAAGAAACCGCATTTACCGTAAAAGTCAACCAGCGCACACTGTACATAACTATCCGATTCGAGCCCTGATTTAATTGAATTTGCATGAACCTGTTGACCACACCTTATATCCCCCATTTTCCTACAAGCTTTGAGAACAGTCGAAAACGTATAACTGTTTTCCCGCACCCCTTCCCTCCCCATTTCCTTAAATACACTCACGGCTTCTTCAAAGTTACCGTTGCTACAAAAGCTCACGATTCTCGAAGTCCACACAGCTGTATTCGGATTACGAACATGGTCAAACACAGTTTGAGCACCCTCGAAGCAATCGAGTCTCCCGTAAAAATTAATCAAGAAGCAACTCAAAGAAGCACTTTCAGAGAAGCCCATCTTCCATAACCAGCCATGCACTTGGGTACCGAGTTCGAAATCCGACGTAAAAAGGCAAGCTTTGAGAACACAGACGAGAATTCCCGAAACAGAGAACCCCATCCGATCAAGGCCGACGTTTCCCATATCCTGTCTGTTGAGCATTTCGACAAACAGATTGATGGCTTCGTCGTGCTCCCCATTCTCAACAAAGCCGGCGATCAGAACAGCCCACGAGTTGAAATCTCTCAGGAACATTTGATCGAACAGTTGGCGGGCACGGTCGAGGCAGCCGCTGGAAACGTACATTAGCAGGAGGCGGTTGAGCAGAGGTAAGGTGAAACGGAACCCACTCCTCCGCATGTGTTCGTGCAGCTCGATGGATTTCAAAGGGTCGCCCAATTCGGTGCATTCTTTGATGAGTGAAGTGTAGATGTCTGGTGGTATGGGGAGTTTGAGGCTGTCCATCAGGTGTAAGATGTCGGAGGTGGTGGTAACGGGTTTCGGTACAGGTTTGATTCTTGCGGGTTTGGGTACGGGTTTGTATTCCGGTCGTCTGTGAATGGGCAATTGGATTTGAATTGGTGTTCTGCTCTGTTTGGCTGATGAAATATTGAAGAGGAGAGCAGCTTTTGCATGGGGATTGAGTGCTGTGATTTCCATTAGGGCTTTTTCTTCTTGCGCAAAATTCGGTTCATTTTGTGCGGTTTTATAGTTGTGGTTTATGCTGACGTCATTATTTTGGAATATTAAATTATTAATTGAATTATGAATTATTATTTTAAATTATAATGTTAATATAATTTTACATACTGCAAATCTTTGAAGCAAAAACAACAGCTACATCTAACAAAGCTGCCACCAAAATAGACGTTGCCGAACGAATTTAGAGAAGAAAAAAAAAACCGTTAAGCTATCCGGATCTCCCGTCCGGAATTTCCTTATGTACATATTACTGGTTTTTTTTTTTTTTGGGTTTTCATTTTCCTGTAATAACCTAGGAACGGTAGAAATAAAACATCCCGTTTTTTTCTTGACGGGGGGTCAGCTTATTACAGAAGCAGGAGAAGCAGTTTCGTCGCCTATACGAATTCGATGAGGTAAAGGTCTGGCGATGAGACCATCAACGACCCAACCAGCAAACTGACTGTCGTTTTTGATGTGGGTGAACTCCCTTTGTACATATTCCATAGATATTTGAAGCCTTCCACCTGGTCTACAGTCATCAATGGTGGTCGTTGACTTTATTCCGGCGTTTCTCTCCAGCCAGTACAGATAACTCACCTGAAACAATGACTTTAGCATGTCTTGAGGCATTGAGCTTTCTTTAAGCACCACCTGAATTTAAAAAAAAAAAAAAAAAAAAAAAAAAAGGAATCTTAGGACATACAACGAACAGTTTGTATAGAATGAATACGGAGAGTCGAATCAGACTTACGCAGTATCTTCCTTGGTGCTCTGTCAGAATATACCCCTCGGACTTGTATAAATCGAATAGAGCGATAGCTTCTTCTCTGCTCTTTACAACATCGGAGAGCTTCGATCCCAGCTTCAACCGGCGATCGATATTAGAAGCTGCATGCTTTGCATCGGGTGATAGTACTTCAACTTGTTCCTGGATAATATATACATTAATATTCATTTAATAACCATTGTTGAATATTCAATTAAAGGTGGAATATAAAATATAATAAAAAGAAAGGAACATACTTCGGATGTGGGCTTTACGATTAGAAGGGGAAAAGCTGGAAACAATGGCTCCTCGTCATTGACCTCTTTAACTGACGGGACTAGGCCGCTGAGTAGATACTGACTGAAGACTAAGCCTGTTTATTTATTTATTTTTGAATATGTTAGAAATTATACGAACGAAGTTGAAATGAAATAACGTATGTAAGAATGAGAGAAGACAAAGGAAATACTTGCACGATATGGATTTAATGTCCTTAGCTGAATGGATTGATACGATTTCAGATTGCAGAACATGTGTATCCAAGTTATAACACTGAAAGAAGCAAGAGCAAGCGGTATAGAAGATTGTACGCCGTTAGCTAATGCTATGCCGAGCATTATTCCTATGGATTTGCTCACCATTCCTTGAGCTTCACCCTTTGCAATCACCTGCCACAAAGAAACTCCTTCACGATGTAAAACGTAGATATACTTCGAGAAATAAGTGCAGAAAATCCATCGATCATAGATCGAATGATGAAAAAAGTTAAGTAAAATGATGGGGAAAAAAATGAAGTGATTGCAGAGATTTTTACCTCTGCAAAGTTCCTCTGAGCAGCAAAACCAGCGTAGAAACAACTCCTCGTAGCTGCCTATCAAACGTAAAGTTTCTTGTGTCAGAGAAAAAGAAACAAGTAGTACGAGCATTCCATGCAAGCTATATTAGACGATGCACCATTAGGAAGGCTCTTTAAGAAAAAATCGACTAAACTTGAATCGATAAATATGTCATATAGGAGGACTAAGAAGTTAAGAAAACAAAACCTCTTAAATAATAGAGGTAGATTCAGAACAAATGGGAAAACTAAACATTTTACGTTTTCGTTTTAAATTGAGGAGTTAAGAGGAAAGCATATTTCGAGCTTGAGGGACTCTGCATATATATATCCTCCCTGCATATGCAGAATGAGAACGAAAATATGCAACGCCACGTGCAGCTCTAACTGATGGAATCATGATTGTGTATGAGAAATTGAAAGAGTTTAGAACTCAATATGACAACCTAATACAGAAACTTGATGCAAACATCTATTATTAACTATCTTGATATGCCGATGCTGTCAAAGAAGCCAATATTCACATTTTTTTTTTGGCAAACAATTTTATACTTCCTCGAGAAGACAAAAGCTAGTCATATAATGGAAATATAATAAGCTTCCAAGCATCAAGAAATATGTTTTATCAGCCAAAAAATGTAACTGAAGTCATTAATACTAAAGCTACTGTTTAATTATCAAAAGTGAATCAAACTAATTGCGTCCAAGATGATGTGTAAAGGCCCGGATCATTATCCTTTTAATTAGAAGCCTAGACTGAATTAATCAATGAACATTAGCAGCTAGTTTTGCTCGTACGAGACACTGTTGTGTCATGGATAACAAAATAAAATAAATTTTACTAAAATGCATGCAATACAATTTTTTTTAAAACCTACCTGAATTAATGCAGCTGCAGATCTTCCGGCTCCAGCGACCGCACCAATTGGAACAAAAAGATGCGGAAATGCAGGGGTCAAAATTTCCAACCCAAACGCAGCATTTTCAAGAAAATCAGCACACAGCCTCCAACCCTTCGGATTCACGTCAAAATGTCTCCCATATTTGGACAACATTATCTTACTAAGATACCCGATTCCATCCTTGAGGACCCAATTCACAGCAGCTGCTGTAGGAATTGCCCCTTTTCCTAATCCAACCGCATAAAGCAATGCCTAAAGATTTGAATATCCGACAACGAAACAATCAGTAGAGTTCATTCGGGCATTTCTACAAACACTAACAAACTGCGAACATCTCTTAACATATTAACGAGTCCAGAATATAAACACATCCAATCAATCAAGTTTCTATAGAAATTTTTTTATCAATAAAATTTTAATAAATCAATATAAGAAATGTATTAAACAAAATTTACTACCTGAGTAGCAAGCACACCGCTAACTTGTGCTGCAATGCCCTGAACCCCTCTCCAAAGAGAGTACTCGAGGTAGTCGCTCGTAACGCTCTCCGGAAAACCTTCCGGGAGCATCAGACTCATTGCCACATCCCTGCATTTCATCCAAACATCAGCTAAATTCGAAGAAGGATTAGACTTTGCAGCTTTCAACCACCACGACCAATTTTTTTCAGGAACGACGAATTCATCCTTGGAGTAATCCGGCACCAGCTCAACTCTCTTGCCTGCCCTAATTTCAAACACGACTTCCTCATCGTTTTTCGATAAATCGTCCGATTTCGCTCGTGCAGGAGAAGACGAAAAAATGAAGTAGCTTAGAGAAGCGGATATGGAAATGAGTAGTAAATAAACGTGTTTGGGAAGAGATGTGGAAATTAAATTTTCTTCTCTGCTGAAAATGAAGTGAGAAGGGAAGAGGAAGAAAGGGTTCCGGCTGAAATTGAAGAAATTGTTGCTCCAATCATCGCCACTGCCTCCACCTCCACCTCCACCCCCGCCGCTCCCCCCACTTCCGCCGCCACAACCATTGTTGTTGATATTGTACTGGAAATTTGAATTCGAGCAATTCAGAGGAAATCGAATGTGCTTGTGAGCTTGGACACGGAGGATTAAGCGTCTGTCGGGGCGGTGATAACGGAAGAGTGAGGCGATCGAGAGAGTATCAGTGAAGGCGGCGGCGGAGGTGGTGGCGGCGGCAGGTGGGAAGGAGTGTGGAGAAGGTTTGTGAGGGAGGGAGAAGGATTCGCAGGCGGCGAAACCCACCATAGCTGCGGCGTTCCTGGAGGTTTTTCCGTTGTGGCGCCTTCTACAAAATTTCACAAACAAAACGACGTCGTTTTGTCGCAGTTGAAACCAGGCAAATAAATTGCCAATTGGGCCTAGTATATAATAATGAGGTCCAGTAATTGGACCCATTAATTATTAATTAAACTATTAATTTAGGCCCAAAGTTTAGAAAACAAAAATCCAAAGAAATATTAAACAAATGTGATTAGCATAAACAAATGAAGATTACATCTAATTTCTTTGGATTAGGACTATTTAGTTGAAATGGGCTCGGACCCTTAATTAAGTTTAATTGGTTCAAATGGGCCTAAGTAAATAAAATTGATTCAAAGTTTGGGCTTATGCCCATTTATTGAATTTGTGACTTGTGAATTTTATTCATTTTGGTCTCTCATGTTTCAGAAATTCAACTATTTTTAGTTCTTAACTGACGTACTAACAGTAAATTCACGGAAATTACTAAAGATGTTAAATTATTGGAACATGAGAGACCAAATGTACTTTTTTTTTTAACATTAGGGATCAAATATGAAATCGATACAATATTGAGGGACTAAAACTATAATATTTCCATTTGTAATTTGATATGCAAATCAATTATTCAATTATTGTTGTTAACCTAGACTTTTACACCATGCAGCCTTTCATATATAAATATAAACTAGTTTCTTTGGACGAAAAAAGAGTAATAAATTTGAAATTTTGACCCACACGAAAAAAGAAAAAATCATAACCCGACCCGACAGAAGAACGGTTTAGGGGGCAAAATGGGTCAAAAAAATCCTATCCATTTTCATGTGTCCACATCCCACGTTATTTAATCGGACAAAGTAGTATTCTTATCCATCATAAAGCCAGCAAAATCATAGCTGCTATAAATCACATATCAAAGTAATCAAATAAATAATTAATTTAAAATTGAAGAAATAAAAAAAAAAAAAAAAAAAAAAAAAAATTCAACACTTTGATTGAGATAGCCACCCACCCACCCCACCTCACCCCCTCTTGTTCATTATACTAATTGTGTTTAAACACCAAATGAGGGCAAATTAGTCTTTTCCATTCATAGCTGTCACTTTCTTTGACACAAAAAGAGACTTCCAATCAATCACAAAGGGATTTAATAATCATCCCCCAAAGTCATGGATCAATTTACACATAATGTGTGTATAAGGCAATCATTGGTGTATATATTTGGGCAAATTACGCAACCTGAAGTAAGGTAAAATTTCGAAAACCCCATTTTGTTTGAATAATTACAGTCATTCTCTAACTATGTATTATCTTAGGAAAAAACTCCTCAAGAAGTAAATTTATGGATGTTAATTCGATAAAATTGTACAGAAAATTTGGTATTAGAATTATACAACCGAATTACGGATTTTTTTTAAATAGTTAAAATGAGGGAAATTACCCAAACAGGATGGGAGTGTTCATAATTTGACCTTACCTCAGGGGGTGTCCGTAATTTGCCCATATATATAACAACGGTATTTCAGCACGTATATATTTCACAAAATACGTGCTGAAATACGAAACGGGACACCATTTCTAGAAGCACGAAACGGGACACCATTTCTAGAAGCACGGCTATCGCATGACTAAGAAAACTTTAAGATCGTATATATGTCGATAAGGAAAATATTTACACGAGTCTTTAACGACAAAGTTACGTCCGAAGTTTTTACTTTAAAACGACGAGAATAGTATTACACGAGACTAAACGAAGCTATAGATTAAGAGAGAACATAAATTTTGTACATAGGAGATTTAAATCAAGTAACTGTTAGCCGACCTTTTTGCCCTAACGAAGATTTCCACGATTTTTCGAGCCTCATTAAATGCAACTTCTCGACAAAAGGTTCTAGAACCTCGGACTCCTCTTCCGGTGCAAAAGCCATGCAGATGCTTAGCTCTTGCACTGCAGCCTCGTATTCTCTATGATAATTTTTATCGAATTAAATTCAAAACGATATAATTAATTAATTAATTACCAAAAAGTACGCAATAACGGACCGAAAAATAAAAATAAAAATCGCATCTTTGCTTACCTATTATAGTATAACATCATGCCATAGTCTCTTCGCAAAGCCCAACTATGCGGCTGAAGTATTAGTAATCTCTCCGAAGCCATTATCGCAAGCCTGAAAAAAATTTATGTTGCAAAATACGTGATCTTAATTAATCGAGCACGAGAGCTATTATTAATAAATAAAAAGAATTAATAGAAAATATAATTACCTAAGCTCTTGAGGGCGTAACAAAGGCATTTCCGAACAATTGTCCTTACTGAACTTCTCTTCGGATCTATGAGCAGACCTAAGTGGAGAAGTTAACATCAGCCCGTAATTTGTTTTCGAAGCCCGTTTCCAGTAAAACCTCTGCAAAATAAGGGATATTTATAATAATTAATTCTTATCACAAATATTGAAAATTGGAAAAAGAAATTGTTTTCCAAGAGTAATGGCTAAATTTAGCTCACAATCAAATTCGCCAAAGCAATCCCAATAATATCTCGATTTGTCGCGATTTCTAAACCTAAAAGCGAGCTGCTATTAATGTCAGACGCCTTCGATCGTGGATCGTCCACGCATTTCCCGTTTACGATCCCAAACAAACTGCGTCCCGAAGTTACTTTAAATAGCTCCTAAAAATATTGCAAAACAATAAAAAATAAAATTTGTTAATAATCGGCTGTTATTTATCATTTACGTTGCTAAAATTAGTAAAATGAAGTTGGAAATCAACGATCGAACCTCGGGATTTCCTGTTGGAGGCCATATCAAGAATTCGTCCCCAACTCGGGATCCAACAATAGTCAAATTAAGCCTTCGGCAAACCTCAATGTAAATCACACTAAGCAAAATCGCTGTCGAATTTTCAAAAAATCGATAAATCAGGTAAATATTAAATATAATCGATTAATACACAATTGCCGAAAAAACTATGCATACCACTTGCAGAACCAGAGCTTAACACAGAGTGCAAGTACAAACACTTTGAATCCACCACCACATGCGACCGTTTAAAACCTCTCGTCTCGAAAAGTACTTTATTCACCGCCTCGAGAACTTCCGCCAGGTGGCACCCTATATCCCTCGAGACCAGCTCAGCTTCCACTTCTTTTGCTATGGCATCAATTTCGACCAGCCACTCATTCATGTTTTTTCCATCCATCGGCATATTCTCCACAGCTTCGAACCCTTGTGCATCGTGAGGCGATGACGTGTCACTACGCTCGTTTTGGAGGGCAAAAGCGTCAATTTCCCGATTGTACGCCAAATAAGCCTCGTCCTCAGCGGCCACGTAATGTAAAGCCTACAAAATAAAGATTCACCCGACAAAAAATTTAAAGCCTTTAAAATAATGCGGCCAGCCAATCAAAAATCGATAACGAGATTCGAAAGAAAGATACATATTATCGTATACTTCGATTGCAATTTTAAGCATCAACAACCCGTACGGAAAGGGCGTAGTAGGAATGAAAAAAAAGGTACCTTTGCAAGTGAGATATCTTTGTCCTTGGACTGAAACGAAATCGCCCTCGTAAATTTATCTCTAGCAGATTCAAGAACCTGACATATGTCACATATATATTGATCAACGGTACATCAATAAATTTGAATCAAAGAAGAGATCAAAGATAGATCGATTCCGAACCTCCTTATAGAAATTGGCCCTCGAAGAATTACGAGGTTTCGCCACAGCAGAAGAAGCCAGGGGCAAAAAGGGCAACCTTGTGATCTTGGCTGCAGCATTTCCAGTTGGGGTAGCCATTGCATGATTCATCTTCCCCTTTCTGTAATCACTCGAAAATCGACCATGACCGACAACATCATTACACCTGATCATAAACGAAAAAAACACACACAAATGCCTCACTTACTACAAGATTTTGCACAGACATGTAAGAATTTAAGTGGCAACTCAATTGAATCAGTTTTCGATGATAAAACAATCGAACTGCATGTAGATTCAGACATGTTCAATTCAATCAAAACCCAATTCGATTCTTGAAAAACAAAATTATTTAAAATTACCTGCCACAATTTCCCAAAGGGGTGATCTTAGTGGGCACAGCCATCATCATTATCATCTGCTGGTGACACAAACCAGGCAATGAGACACGCACCATTTTCTTGATTTTTTTTTCTTTTTTTTTTCTTTTTTTCTTTTTTATTTCCAGAAGCAATACCACGCAAAAGGGGTGTTGAAAACAGGAGGAAAGGGGCTTTCTTGAAAAAAAATTAGAGTGAAAAAGATCCCACCTTTATTTCAAGAAAACAACAAAACGGTTGTTGCTTGTATTGAGGGCTGAAGAGGCAAACAAAAACAGCTGTTTTCTTACGAGACACCCCCGAAAAGCAGCAAAATTAATCAGCATAGAGAGAGAGAGAGAGAGAGAGAGAGAGAGAGAGAGAGAGAGAGAGAGAGAGAGAGAGAGAGAGAGAGAGAGAGAGAGAGAGAGAGAGAGAGAGAGAGAGAGAGAGAGAGAGAGAGAGAGAGAGAGAGATTTAAATGAGAAAAATCAAGAATCAAGCTATCTCTTCTTCTTGACAAACTGAAGAGGAGAAATCAAGAATGGAGGGTTTAAAAGAGACCATTTTGGGAATTAAATTGGAGCTTCCAAAAGAGAAGGAAGAGAGAGACAAAGTTGATGATGATGATGGTGATGAATGGAAGTTACTGCAACAACTGCAACTAGCACAAGAAGAAGAAGAATTATAGTGGAAGCTGACACTACTACTAATATTATTATTATTCCCAAGATCCATATTATTGGAATTTCTCAACATCACCAAATAAATGGTTAAATCAAGAAACCCCCAAATCCCCCTTTTGTTATTTCTTCCTTTCTCTCTCCTCTTTCTCTCTCTACCTATATATATATATAGAGAGAGGTCTGCGTGTCTGTAAATTTTGTTTTGATACAGAGAATGGGAGGAGAGAGAGAAAAGTAAACTTTGGGAAGGGGCCTTCTTCCCCTTTCAATTTCATTATCCTTTACTTCTATAGGATCCAAAAAGAATACAGAAAAAGACTTGATTTTTATTTCTAATAATAATATAAATATAATTATTTCCCAAAAGGCAATTTCAGTAAATAGCTTGTAAGTAATTATTATCTTGCAATCTAAGCAAGATGGTAATTTTCTTTTAAAAATAAAAAAGTAAAATGGTAATTACTATAACCTTTGTGATTTTATATTTTTTTTTATAGTATTATAATATATTATTAGTCATTAAAATATTAAAAATCTTGAATAAGTTAAATTCAGAAAAATTATGTCACCTGCTGATTTTTTTTATAAGAATTAAGAATATGCTTACAGAGACAATAATAGGAATATAATAATTGGTGAGATCATTGATTAATAAATTCATCCCCCAACAATGTATGATGGACTATTAAAAGTTACATAATAGAGATTTGCATAATAAATAAATGTTATTGAGAAGACTTGTAAGAAATGTAGAGAGAGAAAGATAGGATAAGGTAATTGTTTATTATATTATTTTAATGAAGGAGAAAGGGATAAGAGTAAAGACAATGGTCTATGAGCTCTTGCACCAAGAAAATGGAGATGTAGGGGTACTATGGTATTTTTCTCTATTTTTAAATTTAATAATGTATGTTGTTGGATGTTTAATATAACTTTTTTTCCCCATTCTTTTGAGAAATATTTGTTATTGTAGTTAGAAAGTAGTCATTTCATTATAGTTGTTCTAACATCAAACCAAACTGCTCGATCTTCGATTCAGATTGTTTCTTGAAACCTCGTTTGAGTTCGTTTTTTTAATATAAAAACTGAAGTTTGAAAACTTCTTGTTGTTTGATAAGATATGAAGATCGGTTGAAACTCGATTACGAAAAAATATAAGAAACTAATTTACTCGAATTTGATTCATGTTCGGCTCGACTAAAACTAGTCCAAGCTATTGGTTATATATCAAATCGAGTTTAAGTACAACTTTAAATGTTCGATAAATATTCGAATAAGATTGAACAAATGTGCATTCGCCTCGATTCAATAAATTATGATTTATGAGTGCAGGATTTTAATGAGCATAGGTAAGCCACCCCCTCACCCCCCTGATGTTTGATTGCACCAAATCATCCAACTTTCAATTATTATGTTGATTATTGAAGAATGATTAGGTCATGATCCAGTAGAGGGTATTTTTGGCCAATTCTATTAAAAGTAATTATATATATATACATATATATTTCATTTTGTATAATAAAGCAAATAATTATATTAATTTTCTTTTATAACATATTTTAACAAATCTCTAAGTTCACAGAAAAAAATGTTTTTTTTTTGGGTAATTGGTTAAGGGCAAAATGGTTTTTTAACTTATTACTATAACCGAAATAAATCTAACTTCAAAGGCAAAATTTACACCAAAGTTTTCCATATATTTAGGGGTTATCTGATATATTATTCTTTTCTTTTTTGCATTAGTATTTTATTCCTTGAGAAAGGGCATTTGAGTCATTTACGGTAGTTTACTTCAAAATCTTGTCATATATTGGTATGTGGACATCACATGCAATGAATGACTCAACAAACGCTCGATTTTGATGTTATAAGTGTTAAATATCGTTTCAATTTAACCGTATACACACAATCATGCAATCATAAATGCACATGCATTTGATGTGTATGAATGAATATTTGCACGTGTACGTTTGGATATTAGTCGATGAATACGATCAATTAAGTCTAGCACGGAATAAAATCAGTACATAATATCGAGCTAATTGTTATTTTGGTTATTATATAGACAATTTCACTATCGAACAACCGGCTTACGACTTTTTTTTTTTTTTTGGTCTTGATTAAGTTTCATTTTCTTAACATTAGGGATTTCTTAGATATAAAATTATTATTATTTTGCTGAAAAATTAAACTTGTCCACACATATGTTTAAGGCATAGAAACGACACGTGTTGGAAAAACGTGTTCACACACGTGGCTAATAAGCCATATAATTTAACAAATATAAGTTGGAAAAAAATATCTAGCCAACCACATGGCAATAATGCATAAATAATGATACGAGTTAAAAGACACGTTTGTTTGTGGCATATAAATTATTATTAGTATATGTAATATGATTAGGGGTGTAAAAGAATCGAGTTAGATACATTATTGAATTGTTCGACTATTTACCTAACTTTGAAGTTGTATTTAAAATGTGGTTTAATTTGATTGACGCATGCAAAGTTAAATAGTCATAAAACACTCCCACGTTCAATTAAAATCCGAGTTTCCCTCACTCAAAGTTTCAGTCACTCATAGAAGAAGATCGAAAGAAAAAAACTTGGAGAAGTGAACAATAAAGTGTTTCCTTTATCCCTCTCTCTAATTATGGTAGTATAAATAGTCTCGAAATCAGTGGCCATAGACAACAAAGTTGTCCCCGATTCAAAGTCGGCCATGTATGGTGAAAACTCTACACAGAGTTGTCGGAAAAAAACATATAGAATGACGGAGCTAAGAGAGAGAGAGAGAGAGAGAGAGAGAGAGAGAGACGCAATTCAAACAAATTGAAGTTGAGAAGAGACAGAGAGAGTACTTAAGTATGAGCAAATAAACAACCAAGGTTAAATAAATTAATATGGACGATCAAGATTAAGAATGCTGCAAGAATTGATTAAGTCTAGGCCCAATTATAAAATTCATCATTGACTCAAAACTTAATCAAACATCAAATTAATCTTGAACAACCTTAATTTTAATGAGTCATATATAAAACAATTTAAATTTGATATTAGGTATACTACATATATTGTTTGAACTACATATATTGATTCAATTCTTGAAATTGTATATATACATATATATATTTTTTATTTTATTTGAATTTTCGTTAATATATTTAACACGATAATGTTATATTTGAAAGGCAAACAATGATGAACACATCAATTATCCTAAGAATAGTCCAAAATATTTTCCAACAAAAACTGATTCAAATAAAAATAATAATAAAAAATAATAGCCGTACATTAATTAATCCTAAAATCCAATCACACACACTCAAATCTGACGAGGATTTTTACTTTTGCCAGAGAAAACACAGTCGACCCATCATCACTTGTTCATCATCATTCATCAAAGTACACAAAAGCTGACTCATATTATTAATTATTATTATTCTCCAATAATTTTTCCTTTTTTTTTATCACCTCCAATAATTATTGTGAAATGATTAATTATTTATGATTATTTTTTTTAATAGTGTTAATGTGAATTGTAAATGTTTCTTTTGACTGTGTTTGGGCAAAGCGTAGTACACTAGCCGTTGTATGTCAAGAACTTCACTCAATTAGGTTTGCTCTTTTCCCCCCATTTTCTTGATTTTTTTTTAATTCTTGCATTTTTTTTTAGATAAATCTTGTTTCAATTAATTGAATTGAATTTATTATTGCGTAGTGGAAAGGGATCTTGTATTCTGTGTATTGATTGTTTCTTGATGTTCGTCGTTTGAGAAATCGAATGATCTTGGATAAGATTGTTGATGTATAAATGGTTGTTTTGATGTATATATATATATATATATATAGAAATATGGCTGGATGTGTTGGATTAGGGCAAATGATTTTCGAGCCCATTCTCGAGGAACGAGTGTTCCGATTCGATTGTTCGGAAGACGATAGAAATGCGGCATTTCCGAGCATTTCTTTCGTAAACCCTAAAATTAGAGATACACCAATCGCAAACCCCCAAAAAACCCCGACCCACATTCCCACCTTCGAACGCGTAACGGGGCAGCAAATAGTTAACTTTGAGGTAACAAACGGTTTAAATTTGATAATTTCCGTCCAAAATGCGAATCTTTAATTGATAAAGACTCGATTTTTTTTTGTTTCTGTAATTTTTAGTTTCCTCCGCGTACGTCGTTTTATGGAACCGGAGAGGTTAGTGGGCAGCTTGAAAGAACAGGGAAGAGAGTAAGCCTCGCTAAATTTTAAGTCAGTTGATAATGCGTTAAACTAAATTCGAACACGGAATAAAAATCTTATTTTCCGACAAATGATTTTCGATTTGGAATAGGTTTTTACTTGGAATACCGATGCATGGGGATACGGTGCCGGAACTACTTCATTGTATCAATCGCACCCTTGGGTTCTCGTTCTTCTTCCAAATGGAGAGGCGATTGGGGTTCTTGCAGATACAACGAGACGTTGTGAGGTACACATGTATGTATGTATGTATGTATGTATGTATGTATGTATGTATGTATGTATGTATGTATGTATGTATGTATGTATGTATGTATGTATGTATGTATGTATGTATGTATGTATATATATATTTAAAAAATTATATATATTAGATGTTGTAGTGACTGGTTAATTAATGAGCAGATTGATTTGCGGAAGGAATCAAATATAAAGCTCGTTTCTTCATCGTCTTATCCTGTGATCACATTTGGTCCATTTGCTACACCAACTGATGTTCTTGCGTCTTTTTCACGAGCAGTTGGTAACTTTCCATCCTAAATGCATTTATGAGCAGAATTTCTTGTCAACAGCTGAGTAAGTTGGAAAATTCGGCTTTCATTTGGCAAATGAGATAACTACGAGTAAAACGGCTATTAATTACAGTTGAGGAATTCAGTTTTCTCAATTATACATCGTTAGACATCATTGACTATTTTTCCCTCGTTGATTTTAGTATTGTTGCTACTATATGATTAAGTCAACACCATACTTTTGCTAAAGTTTAGTAGTTCCGTATAATTTTCCAATATTCATTTTCTTCCGATTGATTGTAGTTTGATGTTTAAATTGTATTCAGGAAAAGTATTTATGCCCCCAAAGTGGGCCCTAGGCTATCATCAATGCCGTTGGAGTTACGATTCCGATGCACGAGTTCGTGAGGTTCAACACTTCTCCGTTTTTTTTTTTCTTTTTCTTTTTTCTGTGTTTAAAATGTATTTTCTTGCTTATATATCTATATTTATTTTTCTCAATGCAGATTGCAAGGACATTTCGGGAAAAAAAGATCCCGTGCGATGTCATATGGATGGACATAGATTACATGGATGGTTTTCGTTGTTTCACTTTCGACAAAGTATGTCATCAGTATATATGGAAGCCACCTTATGTATTTCTAGTACACGTTTTTGCTCGTTATCTTATATCAATTAATCCACACTCCAATTTTTTTTCGTTTTGCAGGAGCGATTTCCCGATCCAAAGTCTCTTGTAAACGATCTTCATCAAAGCGGATTCAAAGCAATATGGATGCTCGATCCAGGGATAAAAAAGGAAAACGGATATTATGTCTACGATAGTGGTTCGGAAAACGATATCTGGACTCAAACTGCCGATGGGAAACCTTATGTTGGTATATACATTACTATTCAAAAACCAGCAAAAATGATGAAAATTATATCTTCAAAAAAAAGTCGGAAAAAATCATTTTTTTTAACCAAGATAATTTTTTTTCTTCATTTTAAAATATAGGTGAGGTGTGGCCCGGGCCGTGTGTATTTCCCGATTACACACAATCAAAAGCCCGTTTATGGTGGGCTAATCTTGTAAAAGATTTCATTTCTAATGGTGTGGATGGTATATGGAATGATATGAATGAACCTGCTGTGTTCAAGGTAAACTTCGATCAATTTCGTAAGTAACATTTTATTTTTTTTAATTTTTTATATATATGTATAACCTTCGTTTTTTTTTGACAGACCGTAACGAAAACAATGCCCGAGAGCAATATTCACAGGGGAGATACAGATCTAGGAGGTCGTCAGAACCATTCACACTATCACAACGTACTTGCTAAATGTTTTTTTATTAATTAACTCGTGTAAGAGTTTCGATAGTATAATAAATGCATGGCTAATTATATTGTTATTCCATAATGATTTAATGTATCTCAGGTTTACGGTATGCTAATGGCGCAATCAACATACAAAGGCATGAAACTAGCGGACGAAAAAAAACGTCCTTTCGTCCTCACACGAGCTGGCTTCGTTGGTAGCCAACGGTACGCCGCCACCTGGACAGGTGACAATCTCTCCACTTGGGAGCACCTCCACATGAGCATCCCCATGGCTATTCAACTCGTAAGTCGTCAAGATTAAATGCTCGATTATTATTATATAACATCATTTAATATAAAGATTTCGGTACAAAAATGTGCAATAATAATAAAGATTAGATTTTTATTTACAGGGATTAAGTGGTCAGCCTCTAGCGGGTCCCGATATTGGTGGATATGCTGGCAATGCGACACCTCAGCTTTTCGGTAGGTGGATGGGTGTGGGGTCCATGTTTCCTTTTTGCCGCGGCCATTCTGAACGAGACACAACGGATCACGAACCATGGTCTTTCGGAGAAGAGGTTTTTTTGTAATTTTATTCTCGACTTTATATTAATTTATTCATTATTTTTGTGTTCTGATATTTATATACTAATTTTTTTACCAGTGTGAAGAAGTTTGCCGATTAGCATTGCAAAGGCGGTATCGGATTTTACCGTTGATATATACTTTATTTTACTTCGCTCATACGGAGGGTATTCCAGTGGCTACCCCGACGTTTTTTGCAGGTAGTATTCTCATTTCTTCGTATTGGATATTCCGGGGGAATATTCTCTTTTTCGACATGGTATCTTACATTGTTCGAAAAATTCTTGTGTAGATACTAAGGATATGGAGTTACGAACGCATGAGAATTCGTTCATGTTGGGCCCACTTCTTGTATACGCAAGGTTCTTACAATCTCTAATTCTCTATCCAATGATTTGTTAAAGATCAAATTTTTTTTTCATTTCTTTTTTAAAGATTAAATATTTAATAATAATGTTATTTCGTGTTTGTAGCACTGGAAAAGATCAGGAGTTGTACGAAATGCAGCACAAGTTACCGAAAGGCATTTGGCTCGATTTCGATTTCGAAGATTCTCATCCAGTAATATGTTTTCCTCTGTCCACTGAATTCTCAATATATTGAGCCCTCGTTTTTTTCAATTTTTTATTATTTTTATTTTTATTTTTTAGGATTTGCCAGCATTGTATCTAAAAGGTGGATCTATAATTCCCGTTGCTCCTCCACATCAGCATGTCGATGAAGCTAATGCTACAGACGATTTATCTCTACTAGTGGCTTTAGACGAACACGGTACATTTCTTCTTTCGTTTTTTTAAAGGCGAAATACTTATATTAATTAAAGGTACCGTATATATATGAATACCGGAACTCGTAAAATACAGGTAAAGCAGAAGGCTCTCTTTACGAAGATGACGGTGATGGATATGAATACACTAAAGGAGGCTATTTACTGACAACGTATTTTGCCGAACGAAAATCTTCTACGGTCGTTGTGAAAGTTTCCAAAACCGAAGGATCTTTTACTAGACCAAACCGACGTTTGCATGTGCAAATATTGCTCGGTAAATGTGCTATGGTGCGTTAATTTTTCGTGAGTTTCTATTATTACACTTGGATTCAATTTTATTTATTAATTATTATTTTTTTTTTTTTTTGTGATATAGATTGAGGCATGGGGTACTGACGGAGAAGTTCTGGAAATTCCGATACCTTCGGAAATTGAAATTTCGGAATTAATATTAGCCAGTGAAAACCGAAGCAAAATTCACATAGGTGAAATAATTCTTTTAATTTCCATCGAATTTTCTTGAATATATTAACTACATCTGTTCACAAGTTTCTTTAATTTCTCGTTTTCTGCGGTTACTAAAAATTTCATCTAAATAGCAAATTTTCTAGTAGCATTTTTTTTCGATTTTTTTTTTTTCATTCTTTATAAATAAAAACTTATAAGTCTCGTCGTATCGATTGCAGAAAATGCTAAACGAATTCCGGAATCCGACGGTGCACTAGGGCACAAGGGAACAGAATTATCGCAGACACCTGTCGAAATGAAGAGTGGTGATTGGCTACTCAAAGTTGTACCGTGGATTGGTGGTAGAATTATTTCGATGCAGCACCTCCCCTCCGGTAATTAATTTAATAACTTGTTTTTTTATTTAAACATTTAATTTATTTTTTACTATGTGTTTTCACACATACTGAAGGTGCATGCATGTGTTGACCCTGTGACAGGAACCGAGTGGCTTCATAGTCGAGTTGATGTTAATGGCTACGAAGAATATAGCGGCGTGGAGTACCGATCTGCTGGATGCTCGGAGGAATATTCCGTCATTCAGTAATAAGCACTTCATTTTCTTTAATTCTTTATAGTTAATAATATAATTATCGAATCAAAATGCTAATTAATTGGCTTCAAATTTATTCGACAGGCGTGATCTGGAGCAGGCCGGAGAATTGGAGTCGTTGAAATTGGAGGGCGACATTGGAGGCGGATTAATTCTCGAACGACAAATATACGTCTCGAGAAAAAACCCTAAAATATTCGGAATTAATTCCGCCATTGTTGCTCGAAATGTTGGTGCTGGTTCTGGTGGATTTTCGAGGTCCGTTCATCAATATATATATATATATTTTTTCCGATTTATCATTTTTTTAATATATATATATTTTTTCTAGGCTTGTTTGTTTGAGGGTGCACCCAATGTTCAATTTGTTGCACCCCACCGAATCATACGTGGCGTTTACGGCAATTGACGGGTCCCACCACGAGGTTTGGCCGGAATCTGGTGAACAACTCTTTGAAGGGAATCTTCGGCCTAATGGTAATATATTACTTATTACTGTAGAAACCTCAATAAATTAATAATCTCGCTTAAATAATAATTTCTCCTGTGGTCCCCACTTGGTGACAACGTGTTAAAATATTAATTCGATAATTTAAAATTCCGCTAAATTAATAGAATTTTGCTAGTCCCCACCTGTATTATTTTATAGAGGCTTAAGTGACTAATTTTTTTTTTAATGTTGAATTTTTATCATTGTTAGGAGAATGGATGCTTGTCGATAAAGGACTTGGATTGGCGTTAGTGAATTTGTTCGATATCGGTGAGGTGTATAAATGCCTCGTTCACTGGGGAACGGGTACGGTGAATTTAGAGCTGTGGTCTGAAGAGAGGCCCGTTGCTAAGGAATGTCCACTTAACATACGTCACAAATACGAGGTAAGGGCAATACCGTAAAAACTGACATTTTTCCTTGTTTCGACTAAATCTATGTATAATCTGGGATTGCTTGAAATCCTAATTTTTATGTGTTGTTGTAAAGACAAAGATATATATGCCAAATAAAGTATCACTTAAATTCCATACAATTTGGGGAATCTCTAATTTTTGTTGACTCTTTTCATTCAAACTCATCGTCAAAAACTCGTCTGATTGGTAAGATTAGTCATGATTAACTAAATAATTATGCTATATCTGACGTTTGATTAACACAATAATTTTTATGGTCAGTGCACAATTAGGCCTCGTTTAGGAATATTGACGATACTGGAATAAGATTGATTGAATTGTATATGGTTACATTGTCCGGGATAATTTAATATGTTATTATCATATGTTTTGTAGTTGTGATTACACAATCCGTTGTATTGTGTATAATGTATATCATTCATATGATTGATTAAATTATGGACTCGTTTTTAATCACAAACTTAAGCCCCAAACATTTGATTCACTTTGATTACATTATCTATCAAGACAAGGCCTTTATAAGATTTGCGTTATCTTATCATGGCTAATCTTATTTCTGTAACCAAACGGGCCCTATAGCAGATAATTAAAACAATCTTGGCGTTTAATCCTTTTATTTGTCTCTTTTGGTTTCTCACAAACAATCAGCAGAATAATGGGTGGAAACGCAAAACTTGTTTGCTTATAGCATCACACACACACAAACTAAAATCCTCATATATGTATATATATATATATATATATATATATATGAGACTTATTTGCATAATCAATGTGAACTAAAAAGTTAAAAGAAAGGAGAAAAAAATGAGCACAGACACTTTTAATAACGGGCCTTTATCGGAAACGGGCAAAGGCCCGTCTCCGATAGTGCCGCTCCTGGCGGTGGTGGGGCTAGGGCTCCTCCTCCGGGGAAGCACCGCCGCCTCCATGGTCAGCCTCGATCTCCCCTTAGTCTCCGACGGAGAAAATGCAATTTTCACGTGCTTTGTTTTCATACCGGTGCTCGTTTTACTAGCGGTGTACTCCACCAGCCACACTATAGTGCTGCCGTTGGCGTTGATTATGGTGATGTACACGGTAAGTACGGTGCTCCTCGGCCCGCTTGTGCTGATACTGATCGTGTACTTGGCTGGCGCCTACGTGGCGACGGTGGAATGTAATGGGGAGGAGCTTGGGTGGGGTTGTGTTATGGTGTTGGGTTTTTTTTTGCTGCATTGGGTTATGTCTCAGGAGGGGAGACAATCTGGGGCTTTGGTGCTGGCTGTTGTGATTTTTCTGTGTTACCATTGTTTTCCTTAACTAGGATGTTTTTTTTTTTTTAATCAAGAAAATAGTTTGGACAATTCAATTGCATTTTGTAATTACTGCAAAAATATTTGAACAAAAAAAAAAAAAAAAAAGTACTCTAATGTAACTTTGGATTTCCTATTTTTCGGTTTTTTTTAATAGAATTGTGAGTAAATAGTAGATTTCGATTCCGGATTCAATATTAATTTGCAATATGATCTGATTTTGAATTCTGAATTCCGATCTGAAAAATACCGATTATGGAACAATAAAGAATCATTCCGATTTCTACCGATATTCAATTATTTCTCTTTTTTTTTTTTATACGGAACTAGTAATTGTACCCGTGCGATGCACGGGACAACAAATTGCATTGTTTTGATGTTGTAAGAATATAAACAAACGTTTGATGTATCGTATGATCAAAATTCTATTATACTGGAACATCATTAAGTATACTACACACAAATAAAGAAAATAACTTTACTATTGAATAATTTTCCAAATGAATTGAATCAGCTAATACCAGTAGATTGAAAATTTGAACCAAGAAAAAAATCATCAACTATGTCTTTCATGTTGAGCTTAAAAGTAATTAGATTTAATAACTTAGTTAACATAATCAAAACTAAACTATCGACAACATAAAAGGCCATCTATACATCTTGCATCGGAACTAAGCCCTTCTCCACTACCTCATTTTCAGGCTGTTTTGCCACTGGAATTAACAATTGGAAAATTAAGAAACAAAAATAAATATAAACAATAAATTAAATATCGCATACAAACAATAAGTCTTGAAGATCGACTTCCAATAGCTTGTGGCTCCGCCCATTTTTGGTTAATTCTCTCAAATCATCCATTTCAATAACATGTCCAATAACATATAAAATGAAATAATTGTTATACATAAAATTTGAAAACTTTGGTATAAATTAATGAAACACATAATTTAACAAAATGAAATTACCTATAAGCCATGATGGAAAAAGATGTAAACTAATTGCCACACAGTCAATAGGATGAAGAAGATAAAAAACAAAATCTAAAGTCGGGTTACCAAAAGAAGAAGCCTTAGGTAGGGAAGAAATAAAATTCAAATGTTGCAGACATTATGTAAAACGATGTCACAAAATTCGCTAGGGATGAAAATCAGATTTATTTACCCTTTTCTGTAAAAATCGAAAATCAGATTATTATAAATAATATCTAGGAGAATTTGATGAAAATCGATAATAATATTTAAAATAATATTTAGGAGATATAAATTTGATAAAAAAAATCAAAAAATAATATTTAGGAGATAAAAATCTGATAAAAATCGAAAATAAAATTTAAAATAATAGTTAGAAGATAAAAACTTGATAAAAATCGAAAATAATATTTCAAATAATGTTAATGAGATAAAAGTTGATAAAATACGAAAATAATAATTAGAATAATATTTAGGAGATAAAATATGATTAAAATCAAAATTATTATTTAAAATAATATTTAGGAGATAAAAATTTGATAAAAATCGAAAATAATGTTTAGGAGACAATAATCTGATAAAAAACAAAATTAATATTTAGGAGATAAAAAACTAATAAAAACGTGATAAAACTCGAAAAAAATATTTAAAATATTATTTAGGAGATATAACTTTGATAAAATTCGAAAATAATATTTAGGAGATAAAAATCTGCTAAAAGTTGAAAATTATATTTAAAATTATAGTTAGGAGATATAAAATTGA